AAGACTTTAGAAGCAACCAAAAACTGAATCCTAAACGGGAAACAAGAGAAACCTCTACCCTTAATAATAATAAGGCCATCAATAATGCCAGTTGTAGTTGGAACCCTCGGATTGATTGGAAAAGGTTTCGAGTGACTCATTGAAAAGATTCCTGGTAGTCCATGCCTTAAAGAAATATAAATATTGTAATCACAATTACAGCTCATATATTACAAAGAACTTTATCTATGCACAATGTGTGTGAACTTTTCTTTTTTTTCTTTTAGAAAAATGATCAGTGAAAAATTTCATGAAGCAATTTCTGACCTTATGTCTCTGGTTGGGACCGAGAAAGAAAATGTGTATACAATAGAAATCCAAATAAATAAATAAATAAATAATAATAATAATAATAATAATAATAATAATAATAATAATCCCTGCAGATTGTAATGCATCTTTGCAAATCTTGAATAAACTAATAAAATACAATTGGAAAAGGTTCCGATAGACTCATTGAAGGGATTCCTGGTAGTTCATGCCTTAAAAAAATAAATATATTGTACTCACAATTTAGCTTTATCTATGTAAAATGGGTGTGATATTCGTTTTTTTTTTTTTTTAATTATTTTTTCTATATATAAAAATGATCAGTGGAAAATGCCTTAAGCCATTTCTGACCTTAGGTCTCTAGTTGATACCCCGAAGGAAACATGTATACAACAGAAATCAAAAGAAATAATAATAATAATAATAATAATAATAATAATAATAATAATAACCTTTCATCATTTTGCGCACATCTGACTGTATATTCTTATCTGACTAGGTGTCATGTTGGATACATTGGGCTTCGTAACCGAGCATCGATTTGTTGGCTTGCTGCCCTATCACTCAATAATAATAATAATAATAATAATAATAATAATAATAATGACCCGTCTTTACAAGTAATGGCGTTGAAAGTTGACGGTTAGTGCTAGCATGCGAATGCTTAATGAAGCTACGAGCTATTTGTTTTCGCTACTTGCTGTAATCACTAAGATGCAGTCGACTAGAAAAGCCGTCGCAATAAACCGGGCTGTCTAATCCATGACAGCAAACCTGGCATTTGAGAAAATTGGAGAATTAACTCAGTAATACCATTCTCGAACAAACACGACGCTCATCACATATAATAATCTTTCTCCTTTCGCCAAAACCATGTCAGGTTTCATATCACTATCTCATCCACCCAAACGACTTACACCTCAAGCGCAACAATATACGATACGTCGCTAACTATCGTGATGTTCTTTCCAGTTTAATTTCCTCTCTGTACCGAGTTTTCTGATATGTCCATGATAATATACTTCTCTTGAACAAAGAATAATGTTCGACAACAAAAGAAAAACATCATTGCGAATTTTATTATTAGCTTTAGTAGTTTTGCGAAAGCCAAGTGTACGTGGTTCAAAATGGCATTAACTAAGATCGATACAAGACACTTGTTTGGCAGGGTCTGTGTTCAACTCTTAAGTCCCGATTTCGAATGGGGAAAGACCTATTGACGTAAAAAAATATTACAATTCTGTTTCAAATTATTTCATCCCATTTCATCATAGGCTATACGACGATATGCTTAATAAATAGTTCATATCTATTAGGTTAGTGCAAAAATAATGACGTAATAATGTCGTTTTTGACGTTAAAAAATACGTCAAAAAACTACATTATTACGTCATTATTTTTGCACCAATCTAATATATTAATACACAATTTGTGTATTTAGGTATCAATCCTTCTTTCATGCACATTTCATTGAATACGACAGGCACGGTGCTTTTTTTTTCTTTTATGGTTCGATATTTTTTTGTCTAAGTTATTAAGTCTTATATATATATATATATATATATATATATATATATATATGGTATGTATGCATGTACGTATCCCATTTCTAAACTAGGGCGAGTAGAACGATTAAGAGTACACACACACACACATATATATATATATATATATATATATATATATATATATATATATATATATATATATATATATATATGTATGTATGGATGTATGTTTATAGGAAAAATTACTAAACATATTTATATTTAATAATTTTTATTTACTGGAATTATTTATCCACAATTATTTCTTATTACTCTAAAAATTATTTTCAATCGGTACGTATGTTTGAGTTGACATCCCTGTTGTCATATTTTCTTATACGGTGAAGACCTTACCAATTAGCCAAATGAGCCTTGCTCTATCATGACTATCTCCCAAAAGCACGCTTCCGCTGTAGGGGTGGCTTCTTTGATGAAAAAAAGGAAAATACTGTCATTTTAAACTGTGTAAATCTATGTCTGCTTGCCTGTACGTTCAAAAATTCTTCACGAAGAAAATGTGTGTAAGAACATGCCACCCCAACTCACCCCGTAACATTATTTCTCTGTTTTACAGAGCAAGTTTTTCTTCTTTTTTAACGTGCCATTATCAAAATTAAGGAATATCGAGCTTGATCAGGACAAGAGGACACTGCCAAATGTTCAACCCAAGCAAGGAATCCTTCTAAAAAATAAAGAATATGTTTAGTTATATGGTCAGAATTTGGGAAGTGAATTTGTCTGAAAACTTCTCAAATATCCTTCACCTAGATGACCACGGGAAAGCAGTAGGTTCTCTAATTAACTGTTTAATTTGGCTCTTTTCAAGTATCAGATATGGGTATGTTTCTTTCTAGCGACAATTACCAATGTTCGTGCCCAGGTGAAGTCAATGTTAATTATCTAAACAAGCAGGTTCTTTTGTAGGAGAATGACGCAACACAATTTTTATAACCTCGTTTCTTGTCATTTAGACTTCTTCAGTAATGGACCAAGATGAGTAAATATCAATACTGGTATTTTTAAAAGTATTTTTCCAACTTTCAGGAAAATCTCTGATAACGAATGTCACCTATCAGGCACTGGCGTTGCGTCAATAATACCATTATCAAACAGGCATCAGCTATGACTCCCAATTTCATGTCACCTCATACACTCCCATCCAGTCTTCTGCTGATTGGTTATTCCCTTTCCAAAATAAGCCGTTACTAATATTAAATCCCTTGTCTCTCCTTCCAATCACTCTCCTTTTACTAATCTTTTCTCGGCACCCAAACCTTCTCTAGCAATCGGCTCAACGCTGGAAATGTCCGGAATTCGCTAATCGCTAGTCATTGTGTCACCTAAACATGATTTAGACGACGTTGTCCGTTGGCAAGTTTATGAAAACAACAGTGGTGGAAGGTATGAGACAGGACAATTGAAGTAATGGCGTTGGACAAGTGAAATGAGGAGGGTTGTAATGTGCACGACATGAGGATATGGGTAGGCAAAGTCAAGATAGTGGTTGGAAGAAAGATGACTTTAGGGGAATGGAGAAAAGAAAATGACGAATGAAAATAAAGGAGGAAAATGAGCGGAGATTTAATTAGAAAAAGGCAAGCGGAAAATGAATTGGTTTAATAGAACAGTCTTCAGTGAATGAACGAAGGAAAAGAAGGAAGGAAGGAAGGAAAATTATGGAAAAATGCGAAATGTTATCAAACGCAGTACATACATACATACATACATAAACACACACACACACACACACACACATATATATATATATATATATATATATATATATATATATATATATATATATATATATATTCCCACTCCGTGAAGTTCGACTCAGTGTTCCAAGCACTACGCAATCATCAGTATATATATATATATATATATATATATATATATATATATATATATATATATATATATATAATGTATGTATATATATAAATAAATATATATATATATATATATATATATATATGTAATTTTTATAGATATTATTTATATATTATATATGCGTTTTTACTTATTGGAAAGTGCTCAATATCAGTGATAGAGCTAACATATTGAGTTGGATTGATGTGAGTTTGTGACCCTGGGTTTCATGCTATTTGTGATAGTCCGACGATCGCAAATAGCGTGAAACCAGGGTCATAAGCTCACATCAATCAACTAAACATATATATATATATATATATATATATATATATATATATATATATATGTGTATGTATTGAATACAAAACAGACCACTTTAAGGTTCCATGTAATAAATTATTTCACCGCAGCCATTTTAAAGGGCTCTGGATCATCAGACTTTACTTCTAATTTATTACATGGTACCTTAAAGTGGTCCTTTTTTTATTATTCAAACATATTTGCTCTGAATTTATATTGAGCTCTCCGGATATCATCCTCCTTGGGTCTACCCATATGGATTACCTAGTTTTTTAAATAAATATAAATATATATATATATATATATATATATATATATATATATATATATATATATATATATTATTATTGTGTGTGTGTGTGTGTTATATATATAAACAAATTTCCCATGATTTCTCTCGAACGCTTATATCTGCTCGAAGCGTATCTTAACGTAAACAAATGTCATCATATATTATGAAATAGACAATGTCCGACAATTATTTTAATATATTTTCTGGCTATACGTTATTTTTGTAGGTAAAAATATTTTAGTAAATAATATTATTTAAATATTTGTTGTTTAATAACAGTAATGTGGTGGAGGGAGAATGAAGGAATGGTTTGGGGCTAAAATTGAAGGAAAAATTAAAATAATAATTAAATTTAAAATAATAATTAAAATTAAAATAATAATTAAAATTAACTTAATGAGTGGAAAATTAATGAAAACAGATTGTAAAATATATCTGAAGGAAAGAAAAAATCTATTTTTTAATTTTTAGAATAAATCATTTTACACAGATGTTATCTATCTGTTGAGGTTTTCAATAATAATATTTACCTTGACTCGGTAAAGACACAGATATTATAGTGTTTCCCTGGTTCTTGTCCTTTTAATAGAAATTGTCATGTAAAATACAAAGTGGAATATTTAAATGAGTTGATGCAGAAAAATGTAATTTAAAATCGAAAAGATGGGAAATAAGACCAGTTAGAAAGAAAGAATAATTTTGATAAAGAATGAATGAATGAATATACAGAAGAAGGGAATTAAAAACACTAGTGAAAAAAAAGCACGAAATAATATTTTAAGAAAGGAAAATGAAAGAGGAAACAACAAAAAAAAAATGGTGTGTAAAAGGAACAAAATCTGAAGAAAGGAAGAAAAAAGGCGAATCGCGTGCAAAGAAAAAAAGGACATTTTAAATAAGAAAGCAATGTGGATAATAGAATATTTGGTAAGAAAACGGGGAAAAATCGAATAATAACATTGGAATTAAATAATATATAAAAAAGGTAAAGTAAGTAAAATAGGTTTATATTTGACTGATCTGAGTTGAGAACATACAAAGCCATTTGAGATGGAATGTGGCGAAGTGAGAAAGGGATTTGAAGACATCATTCAATACTTTGGATTTTACCGTAGTTTGAATATCGATTTGAAACAACTGAACAATATGAGACAGGTCGATATTTTCTATAGTTTGCTTGGTCTGGCACAAGGCCACAGTAATACGTTACCTCATTAGGATAGAACATACTGCACTATCAATAGCTAAGGGACACCATCTTGGTAACTATAATCCTCTGGCAAAATAGTGAGGTTCTTAGTAAGAATCAAACTTACCATAGTTATTACAACTATCAAGCCATCTAGTTAAACTTTGCTCCACGGCGACACACTCAAAATGAATTACATTAAAAGGTTGAAATAAAGATGATCGAAAAAGACAATATTTGAACAGAAAACGAAAAAAAAATAAGGAAGGAAGAAAGAACTAAATTGTGGGAGAGGAAGGGGGGAAGAAGAAATGAAAAAAAAGAGGAGTTATCTCGCATGTTTAGATTTAAGGCAATACGACAGAAAAAGAAGCAGAAGATCTGGTTATTAAAGAAACACGATGTTTACTTGGCGTGCTATGATCTCCGCGTAACATCGATTGGCCAAGGTGTGTGTTGGGCGGGGGTCTCTGAACCCGGAGGTCTAGGAGCTGAGCTTTTGGGTCCAGGGTCTGGGGAAAAAGCGAGCAAGCGTCCTAAATCAAGCCGTGCATGAGGCAAAGCAACCAGTCATTTCTTTTCCTTCATGCATCAATCACTCCATCAGACGATGTGATGTGATCACTGTGATTAGTCAGAAAGTGGGCGGACAACGAGAGCTGCGTTCGCGAAGTGGGAGTGAAGAGAGTGATGGTGCTAGTAGAAGTGAATAGAAAGAGTGGGGCGTAAGAAGAATTGAACGACAGGGTGCGGTATGTACCATATAGAGAGTAGAGGGAATAAGAGAAAAAAAGGGAAAAGAGAAAAACGAAAAATACAGAGATAGAACGGAACAGAGAAAAGAGAATGAGAAAAGCGTGGAAGGAAAGAGAGTTGAAGTGTGAAAGGAAGACCAAAGGAAGAAAACTGAGAAATGAGATAAGATAAATGATTAAAATCAGACGATGAAAAAAAAGGAAGATAAAAAATGGAGAAAAAGAAAAGAGAATATGAAAAAAAGAATAAACTATATCGTATATATATATATATATATATATATATATATATATATATATATATATATATATATATATAATTTTAAAAAAAACAGGAAAAAAAGAAAAGAAAAGAAAGAATAAAGGATTGTTAAAGAAAAAAGAAAGAAATAGAAAGACAACAACAAAAATAAAGAGAGAGTATAAAAGCCAGTATATTGAATACAGAATTCTCCTCATATCCTACTAAGACTAAGAAACTGCATATATAGCGATATATACTATGTTTTTTGTTGTTGTTTTTTCTCATAACAACGTTTGTATGTAAAATTTGCCAAATGTTTTTGTTTGTAACTTTGGCTGTATCAAAATTATATTTTTTTGCACTGGGCATCGCTAGTTTGCGTAAGGCTCAAAAATCTTTACGAAACCGACTGGTGAAAAGATTTACTACATGAAAAAGTAGAATGCAACAATAACACGACAATATACAGTGGGGGAAAACAAATAATTGCACACATACAAATTTTTAATTTATTGTATTTCCAACTAATGAATAAACATAATTTTCATATAATTATCTGTACACCGATGCATTATTATGAAATATGCATAGAAAACAGAACAAAATTTGATTTAATAGAAATAAATCCCATGTATTCATTTTAGTGGAAAAACACAGTATTCGTACAATACAAATTTCAGATTTATAATTTATAAATTGCTTTAATAATCTTGATTATTCAAGTGGAATATTCTAGAATGTTCCAATAATGTTAGCAGTAGTTATTTTTAGCCTAAAATATACAAACAGAACATTCTGTCATTGATATTCGTGCAAGAAGGATACAATAATGGCGAGAGGTAAAGAATTGACAAATCTACAAAAAGAACTGATTGTTAAGCACTGGAAAGAAGGCAAAAGTTACAGGAAAATCTCAGACAACCCGAATATTCCACTTACTACCATTAGTTCATTTATTGCAAGATATAAAAAAAACTCAAAATCGTTTAAAACCAAAGAACAGGTCCTCCACAAAATATTTCTTCAAGATTTTCGAGGAAATTAATGCGTCCATTGAAACAAAATCCAATGGTTACTCGTCAAGAGTTGCAGGATGATTCGCTTTCATAAGGAATCTGTGTCACTAAACGGACAATAAGCAATGAAATTCATAGGAACAATCTAAAGTCACGCTTGCTTCGGAATACTCCACTTCAAATTAAAAGACACAGAGACGCCAGTTTAAAATCCGTTTGTGAACGTAAGGTTAAGATAAAATCGTACTGGGATTGCGTATTATGGACAGACGAAACCAAAATCAAATTGTTTGAACCTAATTCTAGAAATCATGTATAGAGAAAAGATGGTGATGCCTTTAAACAAAAGAACACAGTTTCAACAGTGAAATTTGGTGGTGGCAACATCATGGTTTGGTAATGTTTTTCTGCATAAGGTACTGACAACATATCAGTAACAGATGGTAGCATGAATGCCGCAGCATATCAAAATATTTTGGAAGCAAATTTAATGATTTCGGTTGAAAGTCTTGAACTTCCTCCTGGTTGGATCTCCCAACAAGATAATGATCTTAAGCAGACTGCAAACTCTACAAAGAAATGGCTTGCTGAAAATAATGTAAATATCCTGAAATTGCCAAATCAATCCCCAGATTGAAACCTAATCGAGAATCTGTGGCGTTATTCGAAAATTCAAATTCAATCGAGAGCTCCAACTCTGGATCTGAAGACCATAAGGGAAGAAAAATAGAACAAAATACCAAATAAATTTTGCAAATCATTAATTAAGAACTACAAAAGGAGGTTGGTTGTTGTAAAAGTGAATAATGGCTATTCTACAAAGTATTAAATGAAGATTATGTATTTTTTCTTTGTATTATACGAATACTTTTTTCACATATTAAAATGAATAAATGGGATTTATTTCTATTAAATCGAAAAAAATTTTTTCTGTTTTCTATGCATATTTAGTTATTATGCATCTGTGTACAGCTAATTATATGAAAAGTATGTTTATTCATTAGTTCAAAATACAATATACTAAAATTTTATGTCTACGAATATTTGTTTCCACCCACTGTGTATAGATACACACACACACGCACACACACACACACACATATATATATATATATATATATATATATATATATATATATACAAAATATTAGGAGAGAAAACATTTAATAGCAATGATTTAACGAATTATAGCATATTTTTTATCGCATGTGTAATCTATGATAAAAGATAATTTTTAATTGCAAACTCGTGAAGTCAGTTTAATCTGGCTCCTTCTTTTCTCCATATATTTAACCGTTTTGCTTAAAGTTCTTATAGTTCTATTTCAGATATTTTTTTTATATTTCTACCCCTATCATGGAAATAAAGCCACTAAGAGGGAAGAGGTTACTGAGTGTGAATGAATATTAGAAAGTAAAAAGATTATTAAGAAGAGACAACGATAAAAGAACAGGAATTTAGAGAAAAGATGACTATTGACATTGCATTTAAATTTTTAAAGATCATGATTGACTTGGAAGCAACGAGCCGGAAGAAGCGAGAAGTGCGAGAGAAGAAATAGTTTGCATAGAATTTACGGTTACATCTAACTATTTCAACTGTAAAAGGATGAAAACTAGTTGCCACTTTAGTACCGCGCTTAAATTCTTAAAGTCGACGTACCAAAGAGGGCAGCTCGTCAGAACAATTGCTATGTATATATGCATAGAAAAGGCACAAGAAAGCTCCAACCGCGGGAAAGTTACTGAAGTCGCGATGTCAGGTCATAATGGATAACATTGCAGTTTCTTCTTTGGGTTTTATCACAAATCTCTAAATACATAGTAGAAACACAAGACTAGATGTGAAAGCAATATTCAATGAATTGATGAATGGTAAACTTATAAATGAATAAGATCGATTCTGGGAACACTGTGAACCAACTTTCCTAGCAGCAGACCTAGTATTTGATTTCAATATTATCTTTCCAGTGCATGTCAACAGAAAACGTTAGCTGGAGAAGGAGCAATATGCCATTCTCTTGAAAGTGTTAGAACATTTTTCGGTAAAACTTGTACCTTCCAGCATTATGGCTTAAATATATGGAAAAAAGAAGCAGTCAATTTAAATTGACACTGGAATGATTTGGATTGCAATAAGCAAAATAAGATGTTAATAACGCTATCTAATATTAAAATCAAACAGTTATAACAAAATGTAATAAAAATTCGTTCTAAATAAAAGATTCATTCTAAATGCGATAACAATCGCAGCATATTGTTAAATTTTTGAAAGTCAAAATATTACACTTTTTTACTTAATAAGTGAATTTTATATCTTCTCTCTGGTGCATTTGAACTGTCTGCACCACTATACTTGTGCTTTGGGGCAAGTAAAACATGTGAATCTTCGAAGATGGTGAAGTTATGCCACCATTCATCTTCCCACATTGCCTTAAACTCAACACGGAGTCCTACACAAATTGCCTTAAAGAGGTAGTGATGCCCTGGGTCAAGAGGGTGGTTGCTAGAAAATCCTGTCTGGCAACTGGAATATCCAGCATGCCACACACGCAGGAGAACCCAATCATGGCTGTCAGAAAATTTCTGCGACCACACATCACCCCTTATATCTGTCCACCTGTATCCTCCTTGATTATTATGTGTGGGGCGTATTTGAACGAGAGACCAACAAACCTCCCTGTAGCACCAAAGACGAACTGAAGACAAGGATTATGGCAGCATTCAGACAAAAAAAAACATGACAATTTGAAATATCTAAGAGTCAAAAGAAAAGAGAAGAAATAATTAAGAAGGAAAAGGAATAGAAAAGAAAGAAAGAAAGAAAGAAAGAAAGAAAGAAAGATAAAGGAAGAGCAAAAGGAAGGAGAAAATAAGAGGTAAAGAAAAAGGAGAAAACGAAAGAAAGAACATGAAGATATGAGAAAGGTAAAACAATAAGGAGAAGAGCAAAATAAAAGGAAGAAAAAATGATAAAAGAAGAAAGAAAAAACATGAAGAAAAATGAAGGAAAAAACAAAAAGGCACACAAAAAGAAGTACAAAAGGAAAAAGAAAAAGATAAAAAGAACAAGAAGAAAAGAACAAGAAAAAAATAGAAGGGAAGAACAACAAAGACAAAAAAGAGAAAAAGAATAGGAAAAATAAGAAAAGGGAGAATGAGAAATGAACAAGTAAAAATAAGAGAATAATCAGAAAGAAAAAGAGACAGGAAAAACAAAACAAAATGATGGAGGACGACAAGAACAAATGAAGGAGACAGTAAATTAATAATCAAATAAAAATACAGATGGAAAAGGAAATGTGAGAAAAAGACCAAAAGAAAGAGAAAAAACACGGGAGTGAAAGAACAAAAAAGAGAGAGAAAGAACAAAAGAAAGCGAGAGAAAGAACAAAAACGAGAGAGAAAGTATAAAAATGTGAAAGAAAGAACAAAAAAGAGAGAGGAAAGCAAAAAGACTAGAGAAACGAATAAAAGGGTAGGAAGTAAAGAAAATGAAAGATGAAAACAGAAAAGAATAGAAAGAAAATTAAATGGAGGTAAAAAGACAAGAACATTTATAGCAAAAATACCAAAGAGGAAAAAAAGAAAATGATATAATTAAAAAAGTAAAATGGAAGAGAGATGAACTAAAATAACGGGCATAAATTTTTTAAAAAAGTGAAAAATGAAGAAACAGAAAGAAAAGAAAAGAGAAAGAACAGAGGATGGGAAGAAATAAAAAAAAAACGAAAAATTAAAAAAGAAAAAACTATAAATAAATTATGAAGTTAAAGAAAAACAAGAAAATTTCTATTGGTCACATATTCGCGCGTCTTGGCAAAACTTGGATTGACTCTATTTGACTCTGTTCGTTTTGGTCTGCCCAAATTTCGACTGACAGGGTCCGGTTCAGTTCAGGTCTTTGGGGAATACTGAGCCTTATTTGAAAGCCTTTATTTTGTCTGAACCCAGCGTCCAAACGTCCATTGTTGATCAGAGGTGGAAAAAAAGCAATAAACTATTGCTCTACGCATGCGCACAAGTAGAACGGCACGTGCATGCTCACAGATAAAATTGATAAGTGCAAACACATCAACACAGGCAGATGGAAATAAGCATGGACATGTAGAGAGAATATATGTCGTGTTTCTTGTAGTTAATTTTTCACTGTAGTGGCATATTTTTTTTTATCCTGTTATATTCGAGAAGAGAAAATAACGTAGGAAATATGTTTAGTAAATTTTAAACTAATGAAATGCGCTAACTGAATAAAATGATGGTGAGTTAAATTCTAATTTATCTCGCTTGGACCACATGTAATAATATCAAATCTTATTGGATGCGAAATAACGTTTGAAACATTTGAATTGTCGAACACAAAAAATTAATCAAATATCGATTTTATAGTTGCTAACGCGAGATCTGGATTATTGCGCACGTATCTTGACATTGTCAATACAACTTCGGATGTCTATATTTCAGAGGTATTTCGAAATTAATATATTTAAAAAAAGGTATGATCTGCTATGCAAATATGAAATTGATTGATTTGTTTTGTAGATAATTAATGAACAGAATCAAATTTAGCCAACGCAAAATTTGACATTAACATCCATCTCAGACGCGCGAATAAGTGACCAATAGAATTTCTCTTCTTCTTTAACTTCATAATTTACATACTTTATGGTCCTTCAAGGTGGTGTAATGGTTAACAAGCTTGTATCGCTAGATCAGTTACAACTGAAAAGTGAGTTCGTTCCTCACTGGGTGCTCCATACTTTCAGCCTTGTGCTACATCTAAGCTACGCTTAGACAGTTATTGCCCACTTTGACGTGGTGTAATGGTTAGCAAGCTTGTCTCGCTAGATCATTTACGACTGAAAATTCAGTTCGATTCTCACTGGGTGTCCCATACTTTCAACCTTGTTCCACGTCTAGGCAACGCTTAGAAATTCGCCATTATTTATTTATTTACTTTTTAGTCTTTTTTTTTCTTTTTTAATTCTTCGCTGGTTTTTTTTTATTCCTTCCTATCGTTTGATTTGTGGACTACTTAAAACTGAAACATTGAATTGTAATTATAATCCTGTTTTATTTTTATATTTATTTTGGTAAGGGAGTAAATGTTGCGTTATCAATCCTTTGAGAATAACAATGATTTCTTTTTTTCAGATACAAGCCCTACTATTTAACATATAGCTGCGAGGAGGAGGAGGAGGAAGAGGAGATAGATCGATGACTTTTCCAAGGATATTTGCTCATAGGTGTACGCAACGAACCCGATTGGAATTCACACTCGGTCCTTCGATTTCTAAGTTCGATCTGCTATCCAATACACCACTCGCACACCCACTATAAATTAGCGGCGATATTTGAAAGACAAAATGATAAAATACACCCTTGTGTTAATTGAAACAACAGCTTTAGTTTCCCTTCTTTCATCATATGGTCAGTTTTAGACCCACTGGAGTGACAGGGTGTAATTGATTTCTATTTTATCTCAATTTAGGTTATTTGCAGTAGTGTGCAGTAATATGAATCTATTTTCGGATAGAGGAAAGGATCAAGAGAAGGATAAGGGATAGATCAAGTTATCTGGAGACGTCGATTGACATTACATTTGAATGGTTAGAGATTATAGCTATCAGGGAAACAAGAAAAAGGTGGGGAGTTCCGCAGGTGAGAAGTGCGAGACATGAAGCTATTGGTGTAGAAGAAACGGCTACATTTAACAGTTTCGATAGTGGATAGCAAGATGCCAGCCTAGTTAAGCGCTTAAATTCATGAAGTCTGGAAACCAGCGAAAGCAGCTCATCGGAGCAGTTACCGTGAAAATATTTGTAAAAAAGACAGAGGGAAGCGACGGTACGTCTCTGAGAGCGACTGCAGACGAGATGCCAGATCAAGGCCAATTACAATGCATATCCGTCTCTGGATTTTATCAAGGACCTTGAGACAAACAGAAGGGGCTCCAGACCATATATGGCAGCAATACCCCATGCAAGGGCGAATGGTTGATTTGTAGATTTGAAGGATCGACTCTAACGAAAAAAATTTCCTGGCGCGGCACAGGGAGCCAACTTTCCTTGCGGCGGACGAAGCTATTGACTCAATGTATTTGTTCCATCTCAGATCAGCGGACAATGTGAGACTGAGCAGCCGCAGAGAGGTGCTCTCTAGAAGTTGAGCGTCAGACATTCTAACGGAGGGCAGGGGTGATTAATAGAGAGCAGTTTTGTTTTTGAGGCATTAAAGTTAACCAGTCAATTCCTGCCCCAGTCCACAACCGATTGGAGCTTCTTTTCGTGACAAACGGCCAGTTTAGTTTTATCAGCGACACTAGATTTCTTTTTGAGGCAGGAGTAAATATTAGTGTCGTCCGTATAGATGCCTATTTGGGAACCTATGACCTCAGGAAGATCGTTAATGATGATGAGTAGGGCCTAGGATAGAGCGTTGGGGAACACCTGTGTTCGTGGGATAGGAGCTGGAGTAGAATCCGTTGAGAACGGCCTTCAATACACGGTTTGACAGGAATGGTTGTATTAATATATATATATATATATATATATATATATATATATATATGAGCAATAAAATCCAAAATAACCTCATACGGGGAATAGCCTATTTCGTCAGACGAAGATTATCGGTCGTCTGTCTTATCAACGCCAGTGTGGATTGAGCTCGTGTCAGAAATAGAAATTTAACTTTGAAAGCTAAAAAAATCCTTTTCTATTAATCCCTTACATCCTTTTATCGTTATATTTTAAAGTTATTTTTAAACCCCTTTTTATTTCTCTTTTAGTTTTAAATTAATATTTCATTCTTCATATAACCCCAAATTAATGTCATAAGGTTAATATCCGGGTTTAATTTTATAGGACTTCTTCCCTTTAAGACAAATACCTTCCACCCTCCCCTGACACTTGTCTCGTGCTTTTCGTCTGACTGACACATTAAAATGGATAAATTCTGTGTTAGTTTTTCGACTGCCTTTTTTGTTTCTTTAGCTTTCCCTGTTAAATTTCTATTTCTGACAAGAACTCATTCCATACCGGGGTTGATAAGACAGACGACCGATATCTTCGTCTGTCGAAATAGGCTATTCCCCATATGAGGTGATTTGGAATTTTATTGGTTATTAATTATTTGCTCTATAATAATAAATACATTGAGCTCTTTTTGTGGATCAGTTTTAACATTTTATATTACTAGGATCTACTTGGATTATATACCAACGGATTTGTTACCTTTACTACATATATATATATGTGTGTGTGTGTTTGCGTATAATATTTTTCTTATTACTATTAAAGTCTTGTAACATGTTTTTCTTACATCTTTAAATGCTAAGTAAAACTACGTATATTTCCCTAAGCAAGCTCAACTCTATTTTCGAATGCACGACAGAAAAAATTCCTCCAATCATCCAATCCCTCTCTGGATTTTATCAAGGACCTTCAGACAAACAGAAGGGGCTCCAGACCATATATGACAGCAATACTCCATGCAAGGGCGAATGGTTGATTTGTAGATTTAAAGGATCGACTCTAGCGAGAAAAATTTTAAATCTCCCTCCAATCATCTTTAATAAGAGGCATCTGTAATAGCCATGGATTTTTCTAGCTTCTCTTCTCTTGCTCCTATCGCGAAATTCACTCTTAAAATCTCACTGTGCTAACTCACTTCATCTTCAACCTAGCCACTCATAAAATAACGGGCAGCAAAATCCAGTTAACCGTTCGGCTGGTCGCTTTGCACTGGCTAGTCGTAAAAAGGACAAACGAACCTCAACAATGGCGGTGGAAGAATAATGATTAATCTCGGTGATAACGATGACCAAGGGGATGAACAATTACGCAGGTTTTGGCAATCAAGATGCGGTGTTCGTGCTTCAGTGCTCGACGTGCAAATAGATATTAGCACTGAGGCATGGAATGGTACACATCTGATTGAGACCGAAGAAGATTAGTGGATTGATCGATCGATCGAAGGAGCCAATAATTCGTCCAACATCGAAAAGGAAAATATCTCAATGAAACAATAGTGTCACGAAAAACGAAATTTTCAATAAACAAAAATCGATTTCACTCATATCATATTTGTCATTATAGCAACGTCCAAACATTAATTGTTTTTTAGCTTACCTGTTCCGTAAAAAACGACTGATTATTTTAGTGATTTTGTAGTTATGTTATGTTGATATAATATTAAACTCTAGATACTCTGTATTTTTGTCGATCTTCAATACTTTTTGAATATTAAAATAAACTAAAAGTAAAATTAAGTTAAAATAACAATTGAGGATTTATCTTTCCCTTAGATTAAGCGCCTATTGGAACTTAAATTCTACCCAGACCTCAAGTGGACCTCGTACATATGATCCATAGCTGAAGATGATGGGAAAATGGTCAGTTCCCTATACCACCCAATTAAGTATTTGTTGTTAGACATTTTGACGGTCGTCTTCGAGTATGGAATCCAGAGGTTAGCAGTGAATATTTCGGAGACAGTAGGAAAGCGTAGTTCAGGTTAGCAGTGGATATTGCAGCAAAGTAACAGAGCGTAGTACTTCCTTCTGTCATCATCGCCTGACAAGTTGGCACTGGTCATTCGGGTAGGGTAAACAAAAATGGCCGCCTTTATACACGACGGATAGAATGTTCTGCGGCTTCTGATTGGTTAACCTTCTATTGTTGGACTATAAAGGGAGTTAAGTGATTTTGACTGGCTCACTAGATATATAACATATACCCAAAAACTGTA